ATAATATATAATATAATAATAAGATAATTAGATAATAATATCTTCACAGTAAAATCTTAGAAACTGAACATGAAAGAGGAATATGTACGAAAGTCATGATGATAAACGTTCAAAAATCAAACGCACAAGAAATTTTTTAACGAAAGATATTGCAATATAAGCTTAAAAATAGTTTAGCTAATAGTAAAAAAATGCTTGGTAATCGTAATAGTTTTTCCTACGCGAGAAATACCTACGATTATAACGATGGAATCAAGTCGTATCAACAAAAAGGGCAATAAATCAACAAGAATTAATATCAATGAGAAAAATATCAAATGAAGTGAACATGAAAAATCGAGAACACCCAAATAAACTAAACGCTTTGGATCCTTACCAACAGGCCACCGCACAATCAACGGTTTCAAAGCTTATAAACGTATTAAAATTTGAATAGCTTTACTCGAGATAGTATACTCTTGATGAAACTCTAAATTATTACGGAAAGTTGGAGCAAAAAAGCTTAACTGCACTAAATTTTTAATAAACCAATTCTTTAATAAATGTGAAAAATAAGCATGCAACAAACTATTTTTAAGGGATAAACACATTTGGATATATGACGGTGAGTCTATTGCAAATTGATTGAAACAAGACGGAATGAATATTTTCATAGACTACTTCTCCATAACATTCGATTTTGAATAATTTAAATTGAAACAATTTCAATACGGTATGTCTTCAACGAACAGTACTTTACTAAACCCTCTACCGCCGTAAGTCACTCTCTGGGAACATAACTTTCAACTTAAATTATACTTAAACAATTGAGTGTAGCAACCTACGTTGCTACACTCAACATTTTAAAGTTGTCGTGCGTGGCGGCAACCATCAGTGCAAGTCATTTTGCACTCACTAGAACGTATCTTTCTGGGTAGGCTTGTGAGGAAATATTGCTCCGGTTACTCGTGTCAGGCGGTAGAGGGTTAAGTAGTACTAAAGCATGGAAATATCATGGCTGGTCTTTGTAACGTAGACGATCTTTACCTTGTAACGTAGACGGACGTACCTTTGAGGTCTTTGTAACGTAGACGAGCGCGACGCATTGACGCCGCGTAGCGCGACGTACGAAGGTTTGGCTCTCGGGTGCTGCAATCGTTGATACGTGTGCTGCTGTTGAACAGCGGGAGGTTGTTGATAATGCTGCTTATGATGATGCCGATTATTAGGATGTCGTTGCAAGGAAGCGTATATACCAGCGTCCGTAAATCCAGAAACAACAGATTCTTGTTCAGGAGTCCACGCACCAACATAAGAAGGGGCTGCTGAGACGTGTTGGCCAGATATGGAATACGACATAGAAGATACGCGATGATTGCGTAAGTTTGCGATGCGTGCGTCACTGTAACTGAAATACGAGCGCTGAGCAAAGGGTGCTTTGCTACGTCGAGTCTTATCGTATCCACTTTTCCTGCAGGTTAATGAGCCTTCGTTTAACCGTGCGCTTGCGCTGCGTGAGGTCAGTTTTCTTGCGGTAGTATTCCCACTCGACGAGAGTGTCTCGCGTTTGCGTTGTTGCGACGAGTTGCGTGAAGTGAAGCAGCTACCGTAAGCTGCGGCTGTTAATGGAGCTTCTGTGTCTTGGTAAATGCTCGGACGCCTTCTATTAGCCGCAGGCGAGTTTGATGCCTGCGCGTCGGAAAAATCTCCACTGTAGTGGCGATAGTTGACGAATGTTTTTCTTGGATTTTTTCCAGTCAAGTGATTGTATGAATACTTTTCAGAGCAGGTTCCTCTATTAGATGAATTTTCGGGTTCACTGTAAAAACGCACGATGAAATCTTAAAGAGTCTGGGCGAAGAATAATGGTGAAATACCAAAGTTGAACTTGAGGTCAAGTTTTCAAACGTATTTTCAAAGATGAAATTGCTACAGGCCTATAATTCTTCGTAAACTTGCTATGTTCTATGGTTGAATAACAGACACGAGATTTGCTCGACTTTGAGACAAAACTTTAATTTCACGCAATTAATCTTTTGTTTGAGCGGCAATGTGGCTCTGAGATGAGCTGAGGGATGTCTAAGAAGAGGAGAGGATGCTGCTGGGAAGAGCTTGATTGTTTTCTTGCCGGTAGAGCAACGCTGGCCAATAGTCCAGTCTTCTATTGAGAACAGACAGCACCTGAAAGAGAGGCAACCACTTGAAAGAAATACCATCAGGACCAACACCTATTCATCTCTCAACACAATACACCTGCAACACGAGGACGGATTAAATTCTAAATTTTACAAACCTTATCGTTCAAAAACTGCCTACTTATACCGTACCTTGGAAATTAAACTGGGGTTTCAGAAGACTTATGCTTTCGTAAATGAGCAACGGTCGATAAATATTGTTAGTAAAACTTGCTGTATATTACGGTATTGTAGCAAAGAATCTAATGAAAACGGGAATAATGGACATTCTCAATCTACAAGTTTCAACTGCCATGTGGAATATCTAATAATTTCTACAACCGTGGGTAAAGGTATGTGTGGTAACTTCAATAAATTTAAACGAAGATGTTCAGGTCTCGCAAGAAGTGCCGCGAACTCGTTGCGGTCAGACTTGAGCAGATATAGAAGCCGGTACGACTTGATCTCATGCTCAGTTTTTTGCAACGAAACTGGCGGTGAAGTTGGCAAAGATGACAAAGCCTAACGGCATCGCAACCTAAGACCAAACACATGGGATCGTGTCGCGCTGATGGACTCACAAACAGGTTAACGACTTTTCATCCGCTAGCGGATTGGAAGAAAGCTTATGTAAGTCCAGAGTTTCAAAGACAACATTTCCGTAGAACAAATAATTTAAAGTGGACAGCCTTTGAATAGCAAAACTAAATAAGAAGAGACCTGATGCCGCCGAGTGTACTTAAGCCTATGAAACACGTTTTGATTCTCGTCTAAGATTGTTCTGGCAGTGATGGAGGACGAGGGATAATGGAAAGAACTTTTATAAAGAGGACGAACATGAAATAGGAAGTCGCAGAGAGCAGTCATAGGAGCCCGAAAATCTCATTACAAGCACAGTAGTGAATGGGATAGTTGAATATGTGATTTAAGAAGTATATCAACATTAATACAATAAATAAATAAAACACGATGAGAACGACAGTAGTAGCACAAAGAGATTTTCAAATGATCGTATAAGTCTTACCAGAATGTTTGAAGTATTACGATTATTACACATTGAAGTACCCTATTTTAAAAATAATACAAAAAACAATTGAACACAATTCAGTCCAATACTCCGGTACATGCAGTTACTGGAAGAAAACCTCATGACAGACCGTGAATCTCGCTTCACTAGAAAGAAAATCCTGTACAATTCCAGGAGCTAGCAGGTTTCTTTAAATCGAAACTCAACACCATTTACAGTTTCCAAGACCATAAAGTTAGCTGCAGAGCCACAGTGCTACTGCAACAATGCTGCATTTACTTGGCTAACGGGGTTGCGTCGACTTAGGGAGCTGTAACAGTACCGTGGATACCAGAGCAGTTCTTGTCGGTACTGCAAGCGAGGTTGAGTTTCATAAGAATGTTTCGATGATGATACTTGGAAACTTGACATTTGCTCATTAAAAGAACAACACAAATATTGTAGAACGGTACCTCAAGAGAGGTTGAATTTCATAAGAATGTTTCGATAATGACGGGTACATGGAGTTATGATATTTGCAAATTAAAAAAGAACAATACAAATATTACTGATTGCTCATTTCGAACATTGAAGATTGCATGTCATGTATCAGCTGGCTGTTAGTTGGGGCAAGAACTTGGACATCCCAATCAGCAAAACAAAAAATAGAATTTATAGCAAAATACACGCAATGAGGTTGACAAACGGCAATAATAATTGACAAAAAATGACAACAAATTGTCGGCAGTACACAGTGCGATGTCAAAGCTAACCACGACAGAAGTATAATGACCTCAGACGACATATCAAGATATCGGAACAGCCAGCCAGCAACTCACGGCAGCAAAACGAGAGCTCAAGCGGATGTGAAAAGCCGGGAGGTCAAGTGGCGTTGCGTGACGAAGCTGCCGAGGCGCGCGCAGTATTGTCGCACCTGTGCAGTCAGCGCCCGCTTAATATCGTCCTTCCCCACACAAACTACACACCCCATACAAACTACACACCCCACGATTACCCGCCTCTTTCCTCACACACAAACTACACACCCTACGGTATACAAATTACACACACCACGATTACTAGCACCTCTTCCCCACACACAAACTACACACCCCAAGATTACCCGCCTCTTTCCTCACACACAAACTACACACCCTATACAAATTACACACACCACGATTACTAGCACCCCTTTCCCACACACAAATTACACACCCCACACAAACTACACACCCCACGATTACCCACTCCCCTTCCCCACACACAAACTACACACCCCACGATTAAAGAACCCCTACCCCACACACAAACTACACACCCCACGATTACCCACTCCCCTTCCCCACACACAAACTACGCACCCCAAACAAACTACACACTCCAAGATTACCCGCCCCCTTCCCCACACACAAACTACACACCCCACAAACTACACACCACCGCAATTACCCGTCCCCTTCCCCACACACAAACTACACACCCCACGATTGCCCGCCCCTTTGCCACACACAAACTACACACCCCACGACTACCCGCCCCCTTTCCCCACACACAAACTACACACACCCCACGATTACCCGCCTCCCTTCCCCACACACAAACTACACACCCCACGATTACCCGCCTCCCTTCCCCACACACAAACTACACACCCCTGCAGTTACCGGTCCCTTTTCCCCACACAACGATTACCCGTCCCCATTCCCCACACACAAACTACACAGCGCACGATTACCCGCTCCCCTTTCCCCACACACAAACTACACACCCCACGATTACCCGCTCCAATTTCCCCACACAAACTACACACCCCACACAAACTACACACCCCACACAAACTACACACCCCACACAAACTACACACCCCACACAAACTACACACCCCTATGAATACCAGCGCAACACCGACATGCACCTGACAAGCGTACTGCTGCTGCTCATGCATTATACATTCCCTTTTAAACTCTCAAGGTAAAATGACAACAGAAATCTGCGAGCAATGATAAAGAAGCTCCATTCTTGTGAATATCGTGTGCAAATATACATTTTTCACAGTCATGCGCTTCAGAACAGTAAAACGAAATTTATATACGATGCGAAAAAGTTCCCACATCAAGATTTTTCTTTGCCAAAGTTACTTATAACTTTGCTAAAGAAGCTTCATTCTTGTAAATGTTGTGTGCAAATATACATTATTTATGGACAGCGATTAGCCTCAGAGCAGTAAAACGAAGATTAGTCACGCAAGAAAATATTTTTCTCCATTTCTACTTTCTGGTCTTGTTGGCACAATTAGGCGAGGAGAAGCATTGTTATATGTAGATTTATCAATGTTTAGGATAATTATTGCTCATTTAGATTTTGAGTCATCTTCAATGTGACCTCGCTAGGACGTTCTTCCTGATTTTTAATTGTGATTTGCGCGATATGGTTACGTAATAATTTTGTGTGTCTATTCAGCTATTTTTACAACACTTCTCTTTAACTCCACTTATTGTTATCTGCTACAAATCTTATATTCGATATTTAACACACTTCTACCTGCCCAATCAATCTGAAATTTTGCACACTTGCGTAAAGTCGGAGACAATGCTTGAATCAATAGACAGAATAAATAATTGAAAAAAATCGGAGACACTGGCCTCTTTTGAAGTGTTGTCTTTAAAAAGTAATTTAAAAACGCATATTATTTATTACCTACAGTGCCAATAGTAATTCATACTAAAACCTTCTAACTACGGACTATAAACATCACTAAAAACTTTCACTCTATTGATGAAGTTAAAGAAAACACGACGATAAATGTAATTAGCAATATATCTAATATTAATATAAGTATCCAATAGTTGATATAATGATCATTGATAGGATTAGAATTAAATAATTAAAACTGAGATTTTAAGTAATTAACTAGGATTTTGAACGAAAATAATGAGTACCGGTATGCTGATTGACTAATCTTTGAAACCATAGCTATAGTTGACCATAATCAAATACTCAAGGCAATTATTGCTTAAAAGCCAAATGCCGTAGCTTGTTATACAAACGAATCACGCGCACGTCAGCTGAATGCAAAATTAAATAAAAGAAATATATATTAACATCGGTGCTAATCTGGAAAATTAATTTCAAAGAACTGAAAAATTTTACATTTTAGTGGCAGACATAAAAGATAAATTAATGCATTCATATTTCACACACTCAAAAAAATAGAAATCCTTCACAAAAATCGGCTTACACAAATACGGGAATCCGACAGTAAAATGCACCTCTTATTGCAGCAAAGAAGACACTGGCCGGAGTTTCTGAAGGTAGCAAGAGAGCAACAAGTGGAGCTCTGCCAAACACAACGCGTAGCACAAGAACAAAATAGACGAGTGACATCACAGTAACATCAACACTGAGCAGCTGAATGAATTTGTTCACACGAAGTTTTTTTGCTGATGCCTACACTGTTAGAAAAATTACCGTTAACGGTATTTATACCGGCGTTTCAGTGGCCGGTCGGCACGTGAAAATAAACACCGTGTCGCCGTTTTTATTCTAATTTAATACTATAGAATTCCGTAAAATATCTGATAACAACGGCGAAACAGCTCATTTTCACGGGGCGACCGGCCACTAGTACGCCAGTGGGACCGTTTTTTTTCACCGTTTTTTTCTAACAGTGTAGCGTAAAAATTATTTGATAGCTAAATAGAATCCCGAACATAGGTGTCATGCGCAGCATAAATCCTTAAGTTATCAATTAAATGACAGTAGAAATCCGTCAAGCTATTATTTTTTTCAAGCTGAAGATTTTCCCTTCAATCTCATGCACTTCATCGTTGATTGCAAAATTGGCCGGCAATGAACAGAAGTTGTGCATGAAAGAAACGTCTAAATGCAGACAGGCGCCATCAATCTGTACAGTCGCAGTTCGTGTAAGGAAGTAAGCGAACTGCATTCTGGACCTGATAAGAGCTAAGATAACGCGCTAGACTCCTCCATCTTGAAGACCAGTAGCTACGGATAAACAGGATATCTCAGTGTATATAGCTCCTGTGAATAGACGACATCTTTTAGACGAATGTTGTCTATCCATGAATTAACTGTCAATTCTGGGACTGTCGACCACACAGCGGACTTTGTCCACGGACTAATTTAAAGCGTGACGAAATGAAGCGGCTTTGGGAAGATATACGTACGAGGGGGGAAACATTTTAACGAAAGTAAACCCCTGTGAAATAATTGTAATTGATCATTATTAATTGCCATAGAAATATAAAAATTGCCTAATTAAGCATAAAACTGTTTCTCACGTATAATTCACCATGAATTTTATTATTCACGAATATAATGATTTACATTTTATATAATTCCCGATGCCCTGTATCTATGACCGCAGTATAACTTAGTTTTAAGCATAAAAATAATCAAACACTAAGCAACTGTGAGCACTGATAGTGCGACAACAGTTTAATTTAAATTCTATTCAGTAATTTCATAACATCAAAGATAGAATATTTAACAGAAAAATTGCTCGCGACATTTTCGATTCATACAAAGATTCGCAAAAATCTTTATGACAACGTTTGCGCAAGGGTGAGTATAGCGACAGCCAATCGCGGCTTCATCAACAATTAAATGTTAAACCGAGATGAAATTAAGGCCAAAAGAGTAAAAAAATATTAAAATGAAGCGCATGTACCATGTACTAATTATCGGAATATGACTTTCTTGGACAGCGGCAATTGAGTTCATTTAGAGTACACTGCTTCTAACACCGTAAGCCAAGTGAACGCGTAGCGGGAGAAGTGAGTTATTGCGACGGTCACATGCAGTGTACGAACGCTCCGGTACGCATTTAGATGAGGAAAATATGCTCTCTTAACTGCCAAGTTAGTAATGCGTACATGAAATGAACATAAAGATGTCTAGAAAGCGCTCATGAAGTATGAAGACATGTGTTTTATGTTGAGCTACGATTATTCATGCTTTAAGAAATTACATCTTTGAGAGAAATAAAAACAGAATATAATTTTTAGGCCTATATTTTTCGCTCGCATTCTTTCGTTGAAAAATTTGTATTGGTACGGTTGTGCGGATGGCTCTTCAACGTAAGTTACCTAAAATGTATAGTATGGTAACTGTAAAACGTTCTTTGAGCATCTTATCCGGTGCTGCTTTTGTTCAACTTCGCCGCTAATGAATATTGAATAAGAAATTAAAATGAAAATGCAAATAGAAACTCCTTAAACGATAAAATTCCATATAGCAATAACCTAATATCTCTTCATCTTAAAGAAAGGAACCCGTGCAGATTGCAGTGTACATTAGAAGTTACAAAACGAGCATCTGTGTGCTGGACCATGTGATGCAACAGGTTCGCACCGGCTGTTCCACGTCTTAACCACAAGTCTTAACGGTACATTGATTTTTGAGCCTAGAGGCAATTATCTTGTAACTATGTCATCGATCTTCTATAGTTGGACTTCCTAATTGTTTGGAAAGTATCTGAAACGTGAGACATGCTAGAATATATCTACTAACTGGCATTGAAGAAGCCTTTCGGGTTTTATACCATTGTTATATTTTATTATTTTATTTACTGTAACAACCGTAAATCATAAGGACATAATATACGAGTTCAAATTTACTCAATTTTTGCAGATAAATCTTAGTCCGAACATTTTGAATAGTTATATTGAAGCTAAATTTGATAAGCGTAACTTTAAATATAGGTACTTCAAATTAATAACCCTTCGATTATAAGCCGCTTGACTCATCATTAAGAATCTCAAAAAAGTATTGTTACCGTCGAGCGAGATGAGTCGACGAGCGCGTTATTGAAACTGTTTGTGATGAATACATAAATATTTAAATAATAAAACCAAAGTAATGCTTAATAGCTCAGAATTACCAAATCAACTATGTAGAAAACAATCACTACCGGTTAGACGTTAGAAATGACTGAACAAACGTTTTTCGAGACAAGGATTTTAGACTAAACATTATTGATGTTAAATGGGCAAAAATTATATTGGCAATTATCCATTAACAATTACTTGGAGGAACTGAAAACATTGCATATTTGACGATAAAATATAGCATATTTGAAGATGGATTATCGTCAAGTGATATTATGCAAGCATTTAAATATTTTTCAATGTAATAATTTCTAAATTATTGAAGGCATTAACTAGTGCGAGCTTAAGCGTGGTGCATGTAACGACATTAAAATATTTCTAAAAAATTTTCTCTTCTGCATATCACCGGTGACTTATCATGAGCATACCAGTGCAAAGTAATGTGTAGGTCTCTTATAAGGGTATGGTACGATTTAATCGAGAATTTGGTTTTATCAAGAACAAAAATGTGAATTTGTCCATAAATGTAAATATTAAAAGAAGAGCATCTGACAGCTTATAGTCTGGAAACGTTGCTTGCAATTTGAATAAGTATAGTGGATCAGAGATAGACAAATTTTGACCCTTAAGAAGAATTTCAAAAATTACGTTTAGTGGATCAGAGAAACAAATGTTGACCCTCAATAATAATTTCAAAAATTAACTCAACTCAAAAGTAAACAATCTTATCAGTCACGCCTAGATCAATCGGTATGGGCCTGAGGAAGGAGGGTTTAGTCGATGGTGGCAGATTCTGGTCCACGTAATTCAAGGCCGGTATTTCAAGGCCAGGCGTAGGAGAGAGCGGTAGAGTAGGAAGTCTTAGATCCATCGGGTATTTCCGTCATAAATGTTGAATACAATTATACCCGCCAAAATTTGAGAATTAAATGACAACCAATATTGAAGCTGTTACAAAATAATGATATTAATGATGCTTATCAAATTGAATGTATCAACATTAAATGCCATATTTATCACGAACAATTCTTCATGACGTTAATAGTTAAAAATTTATTACAGGACGCGAGTAATTTTCTTTATTTATTGCGGTTGACTCATTAAATCGGAAAATTCTCCTAACTTCAAATTTAAACAGCAAAAAGTGACACAGCCACATCCCTTAATTCAGGCTTTCAGCAGAATTTTTAAAAAGCACATGTGTTATCTTGCACTTAGTACAAGAATTTCTGAGCGATGCAAGCAAGAACTTTCCGAAAAACAACGCCGCATGATGAAGAAAAAATTTCAATAATTTTGAAAAATGTTTAATAATTTTAAAGATAAAGTCAGCCGAAGTTTCAGGGCGATACAATATAAATAGAAATGAAAACGAGGCATCGAATTATCAACTATACAAATTGCAAATTTGTCTCTAATATCGCCATTAAAAAATACATTTTGCAGATAAAGCTACCCAACGCGCAGCAGTGATTATTTTAGCAATATTTATATTTTATTTATATTTTCCGGGAAATTCTTAATGAAATTAGACTTTTTTGCCAACTTCTGCCAGTCATTATATTTATTTCATTTCATTTCTATTCAGTTGATGAGAACTGGAATCGTATTCACGTTTATTCTGGCAACGCTCCAGTCATGCAGTTTCCAGGAAGCAACTTTATTTATAAGTCTTAGTGCCTGGCGAATGATATTTCCATTCTTATTCTTTGTATGCAGCGACGACAATACGGGATCTTTAGCTGCACAAATTTTCAAAGGAGAAAAAAATGCCGGTAGCAAATAATTAATAAAGTAATGAAAAAGAACACGGTTCGACTGCTTTGCTAAAATTTTTACTGTAAGCCGCAGTGACTTTCAGAACGGATTTTTCATGAACATTACCATGCTAAACATGTCCCCTTTTTACGGAATTTACGGCACGATAATGTACTCAACGGCCAGTACAACATCGCGCAGTCCGTAAATATTTCACAGCAATAAATATATTTCGCCTGGCTGTCGCAATACTGAAAAAAATCTCAGAAAACCATAGGTAAACTTTATATAATGTAGTCAAAATTTTGAAGAAATGTGATATAGTGTAAAAATCTAGAATATGAACAAATTTATAAAAAAATATGCATCTCATGAAAATAGAACATCGCTTTTGAAAATAAAACATCGCTGTTCAAATTGCTGAAGAGAAAAACTCACCGACTTATCAGCTGCAGTGACGACAGCAGCAGTCGAGCGGTCGTCGTTCCTCACACACACGGGCCCTGCAAACCAACCAATAAAAGATGTAAGTGAACACTTCACAATAATTAATTTTTTAATATGAAATATTATGAAATGACACCGCAAAAAGAACGTATATAAACGAGAAAATAAGTCACATTGTAGAAACATTTAGGCTCTCCCCTTCATAATGAACATGAACTGAATCATATAAATATCAGTCTTAATCATATAAAAAACTAACAAGCAATATTCGCTCAAAAATTCAATTCAAAATTCAATCTGCAAAAGAATGAATTAATTTCAATGTTCCTTATAGACGAATTAACGATGGTCTGAATGCTTGAAATATAATAAACTAAAACTGGGACTCACGGTGAAAGTAACACTAGTTTTTTGTTTGCGTCTCGCGAGTCAGAGTTATAAAAGATAAATTAGGTTCTTTAATTGCATGAGAGCACACATCATGATTGCCAGGCATATCATGTTGAGCTTTCGTTGCATCGCTCGATAGCTCGAGTGTCCACGATTGCCTCTGGGCTACGACGACACAAACATGCACATAACGTTAAGAATCAAAGGGAAAAAAAAGTTTTCTAAGGATTTTAGCAACATTCAAGTCGAACAAAAACCTGGCTAAGACGATAAGCGTGATCAGTCTGTCTCTGCCACTGCAGTTGCCGGGGCTGTGAGGCATGACGTTGTACCCTAACAAAATTTAGAGTCGCCCCAGCTTCTGATTTCCCAAATCAGAAGCTGCCGCGACTGTAAATTTTCACTGGGTATGGGATTGAGGCCTCGTTAGGGTATAACGAGGCTAAGGGTGCCATCACAACTGCTTTTTGAAGTCGATTTTAAATAATCTGCAGCAGTACTTCAAGTCATTCAGACACTTAAGAAGCACTGAGTTAGCATAGATAATGGGACCGAACTGTTAACCAACTAAAGAGATAGAAAATAAGTAGCTTTAATGTTCTTGCTAAAGCTTCGCTCTACATAAAGCGAGTGAAAATGTCTGTTCAAAAAAAGACAGCATTGATTTACATGGCGTTTTCTTTGCATTTAAATTCTTTTTGCAAAAAAAGACAGCATTGATTTACATGGCATTTTCTTTGCATTTAAATTCTTTTTGAACTTGCTATTTAAACAGACTCATGATATAAGCATTCATTTGATTGAACGAAAATCAGTTGTTGAGGCAAGAAATAAGTATAATTACTTGCACAGGTTTGTAGTTCGTGCAAAGGATATTCAATGTCATATGTAAAAGGTGAATCAGCAAACACAACATAAACTAACATGTGGGCTACAAAACAATTTCAACCATACGAACGTTGCAAGATTTAATCCGTTTTTCAAAAATTTCAATTCCAATGTAAAATCTTAAACACTTTATTTCGGTAAATGATGTACACACCTCATTAAAGGTTGACCTTTTTAGTAAGCAAAATTATAACAGCACGTGATTCAGTGCAAAATGCAGTTCATATTCAGGTCCGTCATAATTATAATTCCATTATTATTATTATAACAACATTATCTAATTCTTACTATTATAAGTTAATATTTAATATTTTATTTAATTAATAATTCCATTTTAGGCAGAACTGAAAAATAAACTTCCTTGAATATTATTTTCATTCTATTTATTAAAGTTCGCACAGAACTAGGAGACACAAGACAGAAGTCAGATGTCTCGTAGAGGTGGCAAATAAATGATGGTTATTTTTGCACTCCATATGTTTATGCGTGATATATTTATCTCATAAAAAATAAACTTCCTTGAATATTATTTTTATTAGAGTTCGCACAGAACTAAGAGGGGTTAGACACAAGACAGAAGTCAGATGTGTCGTGGAGGTGGCAAATAAATGTTTCTTATTTTTGCACTCCATGAAATTTTGTGATATATTTATGTGTAATATATTTATCTCATAAAAAATAAACTTCCTTGAATATTATTTTTTATTAAAGTTCGCACAGAACTAGGAGGGGTTAGACACAAGACAGAAGTCAGATGTGTCGTGGAGGTGGCAGCGCGCCAACAGGCTTGCCGCGCTGCCGTGCCTGCAATGCGCCGTACAAGTTAAGTGCTTGTGCCAAATATGGAATAATGCTAAACAATTTGCTCGTTCACCTTTAATACGATTTAACAATAATCTAGGGAGAAAATATCTAAATATCTGCACAAAAACAAAGAGAAGAAACTATGGCACCAAATTTGGAAAAATATTATAAAGTTGACATATAAAAAAATATCAGTAATCTCGAGAAATTTAACCGGTGTCAACGAAATGAAACCGGCTCATAACAGGAATAACTTTAAAAGTTACAATATTTGTACATCTAGTTTCTGCAAGTACTAAGATTTATTTCGTGGGTATAATGGGTATATTCGTTGAACACAGCGTCAGTACAGTTGAAGTACAGGTTTGTACATCTATTGTTTTACAAGTACTAACATTTATTTCGTTTGTATAACGGTTATATTCATTGAACACAGCGTCAGTACAGTTGAAGTACAGGTTTGTACATCTATTGTTTTGGAGTGACGGGTGTTGAGAGAGATGTGCGCGGGCACGTATTTAGTATCTTTATTTATTGTTTAAAGTAAATTTGATTGATGTGTGTTTGTTAATGTGATTTATATGTATATGTATTGTATATGTATATGTTTTATTGGTTGTACGTCGTAGACTGGTAATGATTGGGGGTATGTTCGGTAATCTGGTTCAATCAAGTCCTGTTATTAAAGATACATGTTGATTGATAGCACAGCCGGATGAACTTCAAGAACGAGACGGGAGATGGAGATGTCACCGTATTCCTGCCACAGTTAATAACAGCTACAAGGAGAATCGTAATGCCCTAGAAGCAAGAGGTAATTGTGCAGTAATTGTGTCGTGTTTTCAAGTCAATAAAAACCTCGTAAGTTCGCCAGAGGCTCGTCATCATTCATGAAGAAAAAGTAGAGACAACGACTCGATACGTTCACCCGAATGGCGATCTGGAATGACCTTCATGCAGCTTTTGAAATGAACTTAACCCTCTACCGCCGTATTTCACTCTCATGGAACAAACTTACAACTTAAATTATACGTAAACTATTGAGTGTAGCAACCTGAGGACGTTTGTACGCAACAGAGAACATTTTAAAGTTGTCGTACGTGGCAGCAAATTATACGTAAACTATTGAGTGTAGCAACCTGAGGACGTTTGTACGCAACAGAGAACATTTTAAAGTTGTCGTACGTGGCGGCACCCATCAGTGCAAGTCATTTTGCGCTCATTAGAACGGATTCTTTTTCGGAAGAAGGCTTGTGACAATATTGCTCCGGTTACTCGTGCCAGGCGGTAGAGGGTTACAAGCAGTCTTAAAAAATTGGTAATGAAAACAGGTAATGTTCTTCACATCAGCTGGTTACGACTAACCGATAATTTTATTTTCAAAGTTTCGAAAATAATGGCTTAGTTTAAAAGCGTGGATCAACATTTGAAATAACGCTAACCGTTAAGTAAACGCTGCAAAATTGCATAAAAACGTTTTAAATTAACCCCTAGAATCACACTGTTCACATCCGTGGCAGGAATTTCTTAACACAAGCGAAAGACCATTAATTTTAGTCAGATGATGGAAAAAATAGATGACTAATGCGGTTAATAAATCTTGATATCATTTTTATCTTGTACAATCGTAAGAAAAATTGAAAAATTAATTTAGCAAAGATTTGACAATGATGAAACAAAATTATTTTGATTACATCTAAATAAGTAGATCATCCACAACTAATGCTTACGTCAAAAAAAAAAAAATAATAAAATACGTTAAATTCGCAAAATAGAAAGAAATTCCATCAGCTTTCCTCAGAAACCAGATTATGCTTCCTTCGCACAAATGCCAGGATAGGCCTACTCATCATCGAATAACAGTGACATGAGCATGTAAGTCGTCTACTGAAATTCTTGTTGATAGCTCTATACAAGCTATCAACACTCAACGTTTGACATTTTAAATAGCGTTTAATATTCAACACAGTGAACTACCATAGCTAAGACGATTCCGTACGCATTTTAAACGATACATTTTGTCAAATGAGATTATGAAACATCATTAGAAACATCAACGAAGTCAATAAAATAGTGTTGTAACTTTAATCGCAGTTTATATTAATTCAAGTATGTTCATTTGACGAAATTAAAATATCAATGGAGACATGCTGGCAATTTCGAAAATTGAACTCCGTACGTGATAAGAATAATCGTGGAATTTCATAATGAAATTATATTACACACACATACAAAAACTTCCACAAAACGTCGTCTTGCTTAATGGAGAAAACGTGTTTGGAATCAGAATAATCATGGAATTTCATAATGAAATTATATTAGACGCACATATAAAAAATTCCACAAAACGTCGTCTTGCTTAATGGAGAAAATGTGTTTGGAATCAAGGACCACTTCCCACACACAGCGTCGCTTTCCCAGGCGTCGAACATAATTATTCATGAAAGTAGTAAATAATAGCATAGTGGTTGGACAAGGCAGCCGGGCTCGCACGGCGTTTTCATTACAGGAATTACAGTGAGTAAATCATTTCAAAAGTTACATTGTTTAAAATTGTGACACGCAGTTAAATGTTGTTGTGTTTAGGGTTGAGTGTAATTTGTCGGACTTTCAGACAGACGTCCAAAAATACAAAATATTACGTTACTAGGAATAGAAAGTTATTACTTCAATATTGAAAACGCTTTTAGAAGGGGTATTTGAAACCTGATAAATTAAAATTAAATTAATAATAGTTATAAGATCGGATATCAAGGATTTAAGATCTTAAAAAGAGTACGTAATATTTAATCGAGCAGTCGCATATATGTCCTCATGGGCGGTAAAATGGAAACGGTAAACACATACCGTATAACGGTAATTTTCATTTCAAATGCCCGCAAGGTTAGACTAAAGCGGATGTACGATGAAGTTAATTGTTCGGTTTGCTCAGAACCGGCGTGCAGAAGCGGTACAGCACCGACAGCAACCGGCA